AATATACTAGTTAATGGCCCTTAGAGCAAGTTTTTGCATCTTGAGACCCCAGTGGCCCACAGTCCACAGCCCCTTATGTTTCTCTTTCTAATCAGTTTTCATAGAGGTCTTTTATTTTTTAGTTTTCTTTCTTCCTACTGGCTCATTTCTAGGTTTCTGTCTTCAAGTTCACTAATTCCCTCTTCTGTCTGTTCTGCTCTATTTCCAGTGGTCTCTGGTGGATTCATCTCCTTTATTGAGGTCTTCAACTACAGAATTTTTGCTTGGTTCTTTTATAGTTTTAGTTTGTTTGATAAAATACTTCTGTTCATTAATTTTATTCCTGAGCTCTTTGGACTGTCTGAGTTTTCTTGTATATCGCTGAGTTTCTTTATAAGTGTAACCTTGAATTCAGTCACTTAAAATACTGCCTTCCAGCCCTAGCTGGTTTTGACTCAGTGGATAGAGCTGCAGACTGAAGGGTCCTGAGTTCAATTCTGGTCAAGGGCACATGCCCGGGTTGTGGGTTCCATCCCCAGTGTGGGGCATGCAGGAGGCAGCCAATGAATGATTCTCTCATCATTGATGTTTCTCTCCCTCTCCTTTCCTCTCTGAAATCAATATATATTAATAAATACATAAATAAAACACTGTCTTCCATGGCTTTGAGTTTCTGGAGATGTCATTTTTCTGTGCTCCCAGTTATGGTTCCTGGTATTTGATGGATTGTTTTCTGCCTGCGCCTTTGAGGTAGTATTCCTTCATGTTTACTGTTTTGCTCCTAACAGTTCAGCAGGTTGTAGGTAGGGTGCTTCCTTTTCACTGTGCTGTTCGGTATGTCCCAGCGTTACCATGCCCTGCCGGACTGTGGGGCACGGAGGCAAATTGGCTATCTTGTACCTCCCCCTTCCTCCTTCCCTTAACAAAGGTCGTTGGCGGCAGGACCGCTGTTTGAAGCCTTCCAGCCACCTCTACTTGGCTCTGTACTGATGAGGGGGAAGGGAAATGCCTTTTGGAGGGAAAAGTGCTTCTGCTCCTCTTACACTTCAGGCCCAGCTTCTCCACTGCTATCACACTCACTGGAGCCATGGGTGGCACTGAATTATGTCAGCAGCCAGCATCTGTTCTTCCCTTGTCCTGCCTCCTCCACTTGTTTCAGTACGCCCACCTTCAGATGTTCTACTGTGTGGATCTTTCAGATGTTTGTGGAGTAGGGATTCTTTATTTAGTTGTTAATGGAATCCTCTCACTTCATCATGATGCTGATGTCCCATCCTTTTTATTTTAAACTGTTTCTTCATATGTAAAGTGGGTTTCTTTTATGCAAATACAGCTGGGTCATGCATTTTTATCCAATTTGACAATCTCTGCTTTTTACTTGGGGTGTTTAGACCAATTGTGCTTAATGTGCCATAGATGGATTTAAATATATCATCTTTCTATTTTTTGTATTGATCACATTTGTTCATTTCCTTTTCCCTTCTCCTTTCTCTTGAATTAACTGAATGTCACTCTGTGATTCACTTTATCTACTTTATTGGACTATAAACTATAATTCTTTGTAGTGTTGTTTTAGTTGTTGCTTTAGGGTTTATAGTATACATCCTTAACAAGAGTCTTTCCTCAGGTACACACCTACCAATTGGCATGTAAGAATATTACAGTGTACTTCATTTCACTTCTCCCTTTGTAATTGTCATACTTCAACATATGAATCCCATAATAAAACTATTTTTGTTTTAAACAGCCAGTAATCTTTTAAAGAGCTTTTTAAAAAGTGTACCTTACATTTACCAACATATTTACTATCTCTAGTACTCATTATTTTGTATAGATCTATTTAACTTCCACTTGAAGGGCTTTTTTTTAGCATGTCTTGTAATGTGGGTCTGCTTGTGGTTTTCAGCTTTAGTGTGTCTGAAAAGATTTTAATTTTGCCTTCATTTTTAAGAAACTATTTATACTGATTATAGAATTCTAGAGTCCCTCCCCCCCCCCTTTTCCCCCTTGCAACACTTAAATTTGCTGCAGTATTATGCACTGGCTTGCATTCCTGGAGTTCTTATCCTTTATTCCTCTATGTAATGTATGTATAACATGGCCCCTGATTTCACCTTTGAGAACGTGATAGCTGATCAAAATTAACCCTGAATTTGGTCCACTTGAAGGGGGAGAACATTGCAGTCTAAGGCCCTAAAAATGTTTTAACTCATTGCCCTTTACTCCCTGACTTTCTAATGAGTCAGTCAATGCTTTTTTTTTTTTTTTAATACTTTGAAGTCTGGTATTGCATGTTGGAATTTGTCACCTGCAATTTAGATACGCTAACTCATTTAGCTCATTTAAGTGACTCCCTGACAGGGATGATAATGTATGTTGAAATACATCAGAGGGTGCTGCTTGACTTTGACCCAGCTATTTGAAGTGGAGAGCTAACAGATAATAGGTGTAGTGGTTGCAACGAAGAAATTACTAACATTGCAGGGTTTAAAATGACTGTCAGATTGTGACATCAAGTGGGTTTTTAGGGAAGGACTCCTTGCTGCCACCAAAAGGTCTGTGCAGAGTACTAGTACCAAGTGGAAAAGGGCTGACAAGAGGTTCGGTGGGAACGAGTGCTCTCCTGGCTCTCGTTTGTCTTTCATGCTGCCTCTGAAGCACTGCTGGGGAGGTTTGGTGGCAAGTGGGCTTGATGAAGCAGGGATGGGAAGGGAGATGTGCCTTCTGTGGTGTTTGCACTGACCACACACAGTCAGTGCTATAGGCCTCATAGACTTTTCTCCTTTGTGCCTTATCTTCGTGTTGCAGTTTCATTTTTTTTTTTGTCAAATTATCTTTATTTAGCTGTTTCTTCTTGGGTGAAGATTGGAGAATAAAGCTGGAAGAGAATGCACTTCAGGTAAAAATGGTCTTGTTAAAATCAGGAATTAAGAAGTTAAGCCTTAGCTGGTTTGGCTCAGTGTATAGCGCATCGGCCCGTGTTCAATTCCAGTCAAGGGCTCATACCTTGGTTGTAGGCTTGATCCCTGGCCCTGGTTGGGGCCTGTGGGAAGCAAATAATCAGTGTTTCTCTCTCCCCCCCTCCCTTCCCACTCTTTTCAAAAATCACTGGAAAAATATCTTCAGGTGAGGATTAACAAAAAAACAAACAAAAGTTAAGCCCCAGATCTATAGTTAAATAACTAAAACACATCCATGCAAGGGTACTTACTCACTGATTACTTCATATCTGGTTCAAATGGACAGGAGTCTGGAAGGTGGAGCATGGCGGGCAGTGTGTTTGATTCTACTTTCTCCTGAAATCTGTTACTATAAAGTCTACAAATGTATTCCTTTGTGCTCAACGACTGGAATCTCAGTTCTCGGACTTAATTCGTTCTGGAGCTGTTCCAGAAGCAATTTGTTTGAAAACCAAATCATTTTTTCATCCCAGACGCCCAAGTGATTTTAACTTTTCTTTTATACAGCACATGTCTATAAGCAACAATCCTAAAATTTATCAAACCACCCTCTGCAGCCTTAAGTGAATCACTTTCAGGGGTGTCTTCCAGGAGATCAGTATGCAGCATCTTCATGTCATTGCTTCCAAAATGCTGTCACTGCCTACCTACCTTTCATTTATCCAAATCAACAACCATTTTTCTCTCTCTTCAATTGCCTGTGTGGTTTCTTTCACACCCTTAGCAGCATTAGCACTCTTGAGGGCTTTTTTGTTTTAAAATTGTCCTAATCGCCAATTTCCCCAGCAACAAAAGCAAAACAAACAAAAACAAACCCACAAAAATATTCACAGCACAATTTCCCAAAATGTTATCTTTGTGTTGCAGTTTCACAGGTTTAGTGGTAAACTCTCACTTTTTTGTCATGCTGATGTATCAGCATGAAAGGGTTGTCAGGTTGAGAACCAAAGGTTTGACTGTGTTCATTTAAGATTTTTTGGGGGGGGGGGGGGGGGGGGGGGAAAATCAATAGGCTGCCTCTTTCATGCCCTCTATTGGGGGGTCGGGGTCAAGCCTGCAACTCAGGCATGTGCCTTGACTGGGAATCAAATTGGCAAACTTCTGGTGCATGGGATGATGCCCAACTGAGCGACACAGGCCAGGGCTCAACTATTCTTATTAATATTGTGTCCAAAGATTCATTCTCTAAGTTTCTCCCTCAAAACAAAATAAAAACCATGCCATCCTGTAAAAAAACTCCCTTCACCTCCCAGTCTCTTAATGGAATCATTCCTGCTCACTAGTTCTTTTCTTTCAGTTACTTTTCAGAAGCCTGCAGTCCATTTCCACTCTCACCAATCCAATGACACTGCCCTGGCAGATCTATTTTGCCTCTAACGTCACTGTGATCTTGGTCCTATGCGCTCTGACCACTTTTACTAGTACATTGCTACCTTTGTCCCTTGTTTCGCTGAATTTTATTTTTATCCTTTTCAATTTTTTAAAAAAAACATTTTGATTTCAGAAAGGGAGAGGGAGAGATAGAAACATCAATGATGAGAATCATTGATTGGCTGCCTCCTGCAGGCTCCCTGAGGATAGAGTCCGCAACCCGGGCATGTGCCCTTGACCAGAATTGAACCCAGGACCCTTCAGTCCAGAGGCCGATGCACTGTGCCAAACCAGCTAAGGCTACCCTTTTTAATTTTAATTTTGTCCTGAAGTAATCTCATCTACATGCATGGTCTTAAATATATGCTAATTCTCAAACATGTAGTTTCACTGTTGGTGTCTCCTCACCAGTTGGAAAAAAGGACTTCATCTTGACAGACTAACGTGGATGGCTTATTTTCAGCTCAAACTCATAATGTCCCTTCACTTATATTTTTAAGAAAATGTTGCCCTATCCGGTTTGGCTCAGTGGATAGAGCATTGGCCTGTGGACTGAAGGGTCCCAGGTTTGATTCCCATCAAGGGCACATGCCCGGGTTGCAGGCTCGATCCCCAGTAGGGGGCGTGCATGAGGCAGCCAATCAATAATTCTCTCTCGACTGTTTATGCCTGGTTTTCTCTAACGCTGTGATGGCATTCAAGCAACCTGTCTCTAAAGAGTGTGGGGTTGCTATTAATTATGTGGCATCTTATGAGCTGCACATCAGCGATGCTTATTTATGTATGGCCTGTTGTTATATTGATGACGCAAGAGAACCTATTTTTTCTGGATTCTTTGAAGACCAAGCTGAGGTGAAAAGAGAACATGGAAAGCAATTCCTAAGATACCTAGTAGGATGTGGGAATACCATCTGCCTACCAGTGATTAAGCGGCCTGAGGTAGATAACTGGCAAACCGGCATAAAAGCTCTGGAGTATGCTCTGCAATTGGAGAACCAGTTAAGCCAGCTCCCGATGGACCTGAGGGTCACAGCTGCTGCCAACAATGACAGTAATCTCTTGAGCTTCATGAAAAGGTTCCTGGATAAACAGAGGAAGGACACAAACCACCTGCAACGCCAGATTGTATAACGTATTAGAAAAGGAGGTCCAGGAGCAGGAAGAATTAAAGCCTGTCGGATAATTAGACCCAACATCTGAGGGCAACAAAGCAAGTCTTCCCATTGTAGTCATTCCCAAAATCAGCTATTTAAGGATCTTAATCTTCATTTGACAGAAGACTGCTTTCCTTCATTGTGTGTACAATTAAATGTTTTTGCATTAAAAAAAAATTCTCCTCATTGATGTTTCTGTCTCTCCCTCTTCCTCTTTGAAATCAATAAAAATATATTTTAAAAAAAATTTCCCCATTCTATAGAAAGATCTTTACCTAAGTCCTAGAGGAATTTATTCTTCTCATCTATATTTTCATACCACATTGTATATAACTTTTGGCACCCAAACTGGAAATTCTCCATAATCCAAGTTAACTTTTTCAGCTCAAGATCCTTAACTGAATCATGTCTGCAAAGCTTATTTTTGTCATATAAAGTAACAGCCACAGGGTCCAGGGATGAAGATGCAGATATTTTTGGGAGGACCATCATTCTGTGTGATGGCTTGTAAACAGACTTCAAGAAGAGATAGAAAAGCTTGAATGTAATATTTATTTGGTGAATTTACATATGAGGTCATTTACAAAAGTAAAGATACAGACAGATGCAACTTTCAGTGCAGGTTCAAATATTTTTTAGGACAGGCAGTAGTCCATGAGGACTGGAATGACAGTACTGAATGGCACATGCTTGTTTCCTTTGTGTTCTTACCCCCACCCCGTGGGGTAGGAAGGGGGAAGAGAATATTAGTGTTAATGTACATACAGCCATGCAAATAAAAACTGTGGTGTTTTGTGTTTTCTAAGTCACAGGTTACTCAGAGATGTAGAGCATTTCTGTGTTCAGGGGTTATTGTAGGAGCATCATCTAATAACTAAAATGCAGAGCTTTCATATTTTCCATTATCCAAGTCATCTTAAATTGTATTATCTGCCCCCACTCATTAGTTAGAGGCCCTCAGTATTGTGCAGACTCTGACTTTGGAAGGGAGTCATTTCTAATAATTTCTAAAAAGATAGCATTTATAGACAATCTTTTTGGTTTCAATAGGATAAAGCACCCTTTAAAAGGGGGGTAAAATGCTCCTTTACTCCCAACAATGTAAACTCTAATTAGACTTCATTTCCAAGAAAGTGTAACTAAAGGCTTGGTGTTTTATTCTCGGGCTTAAATAAACCTGTCACCACCCAGAACATCTCAAAACAAGAGACCCCTTAAGAACACAGCCACCAGAAAAATGCAGCATATAAGCAAAAGGATGGTCCATAAAAGTGACAACTGGGAAAAAAAACAAACGTACTAAGTAAAAAGGTAAGGTAAAGAGAAACAAAACAAAAACCTGCTGTCAGTATCCCTAATGAAGACCTGGACATGGGAAGTCAGTCGGCCTTAGAGAACAAGATTAACTGAAAAATAAAAGCACTCCACAGGTCCTTAGCATCTTTGAAAAAAGATTGGCTCCAATTCCTTAAGCACATTTAGCCACAGTTGAAGCACTAAGCTTCAGAAAATACTATGCTTCTGGCTCTAAGAATTACTTCATTTTTGAACCTTTAGCCCCATTTTCTCTTCATTAGAAACTTTAAGCTAATTAAATACTCCCATGTATCACACTCCATCTTTAACATACAACCAACCTGCATTTTCTTTTAAAAAGACACTATTTAATAGTACTTATTACAGAAAATAGTCATGGGCAATTAAAAACACACTTTCATTTCACCTTACCTCTTACCTGGTCCATTCCTCCATTAACTCAGTCTTCCAGCACATACATCAATCATAATATTTGCTTCTGCATAATTTACAATGAAAACCAGCTGTTGTGGACTTGAAGAACAATGTACATTATCCATCAGAGTTGAAGGGGTAAAAAGGCTGAACAGTTGCCACTGAGTCAAAGGTTCTGCAGAATTAGAGGCCTTGTGCATGCTGACAGTACTTTAAAGGGTTCTCCCAGTTTTGCTGCCTTAAAAACAAAATCCCCATGTAGGCTTTATTTCCTTCAAAAAAACCCCAAAACTCAAAGGGATTCATTGAATCTAAAAGAAACCTATTTACAACATTTACTCTGTTACTTTAAAAACCAACATGCTGTAAAAATACTTATATTACACAAATACACACACACACACAAAGACAAAATCATCCATCCCCCCGCCCCCCTAAAAAAAAAAAAAGAACCAAATCAACAAATAAAAGTTTTATTTGCATGGCCAATTATCAGTTGTACTCTTTGCAACTTCATTTTAATAATCCTTTAACAGGTCTTAAGCTTTTGTTGCACAGGGAATAAAAGCTGCAACACTGCACACTTCCTTCAACAGCCACTCCCACAACACTTAAACGTGAAACAGATGTAACGAATGACAGCAGCACAAACAGGAAATACCAAGTTCCATCATCCAACACAGTTCATGACAGTGTCTTTAGGGTTCAGTTGCAGAGGGGGTAAACTTCTTCTAAAAAGAGAGTCATGTTCCCTTCCCCTATTTTATAATGTTGGTGGCTTTAATCCATATTTCTTTGCAACTTCTGTCTGGGCATGGGCTGCATCACAGAGTGAGTAGAGATGAGCCATCTCCATTTCCGATTTGGCCAGGTTAATAGCTTTGTTGAACATGTCAATGGCTTTCTCCATGTTTCCTCTAAAAGAACAAAAATTTTAAACATTTCATTCAACAAGCTCCTCACAGAATGCAATGAAGTTAGTAAGTGGTGTTATATTGAGTCTGACCCATAAATTTCAACTACAACTAATAAAATGGTTCTTTATAATAAAACAAGGCATACAGAAAGTGCTTGATTACAATTACTGTGTGCTTATTACACCTGTTATAGTCTTGTTTTACAGATAACAGTGGAGAGTAGAGAAATTAAATGACTTGTTTTTAATCTTCCTAATTCCTATGTTTGACCAAATACAGCAGGCTAACTATTAGGTTGATAATTTTGTATGGCCCACGAATGATGTTATGAATATCCAAAGGGCCCTAGGCAGAGAAGGTTCCCCAGCCCTGCTCTAGAAAAGTGATAGCCTCACAGAATAGTAATGGCACTCAGGGGCCTCAACTTCACAGATCTGTGAGTCCACTTCCTTTTGTCTCACCTCTTACCACCATGTTCCCATGCTATGCACCTCACTCCAGTCACACAGGTCTACCTGAATTCCTTGACTGTGCTACATACACCCATACCTGCACTATTGCCTCTTTGCTTGATTCTAGTCAGCTCCTCACCTTTCTAAGGCACAGTTCAAATCTAGCATTTTCATGAAAACTATTTTCCACTCCCTCCCCAGTGTTCCCATAGTTCTATTGTCATTCTATGCATAAATAGATGTATATACACCACAATCCTAGTAGATCCTTAGTGGACAACCCTCAATTTCTAGAACCTAGTGCAATGCCTGATAATTAGTCTCTTATTTTTTAGTAAATGGGTAAATATGCTTGGACAAAAAATATAATTTACCGTTTACAATCTAAGTGTGATCTGGTTTTATATAAACTTACTAAGAACCAAGAGCTATGTTAAGTAACTAGTATTAGCTATGTATATATGCATACATGCATATCATCTTACAATAAATATTTATTAAGTCCCTACTCTATATATGCCAGTTAGACTAAGAAGTACAGTGTACCTGTGGGGCGACTAACCTCCTATTCCAACAGATGACTACATGATAGACATTAACAATAACAACAACAAAACTTTGAGTTCAGATATCAGGTAGACAACAGGTTTGCTAAATCCTAGGGTAATGAGCAAATTCACTCCATTCACATGTGTTTATTCTTAAGACAGGATTTAGAATGAATTTCTTAAAAGTTAAAATTAATTCACAAATAAAAGCCATCAAACCTCATAATCCAGGGGTCCTTAACCCAGGCTTTATGAACAACTTAAATGCAAAGTGCTTTTATATGTGCATCATCCTAAGAAAAATCCACAGGTCTGCTCAAAAAGATTAAGAACTGCTTTCCCAACCTATTCTAATACAAGAATGTTTTATTCACATCAACAAATTGACAATTAAGAAATAATTTAATATTTACATGCAACCATTAGTACAGAATAGTTAAAAAGAACCATAAAAATTTTCATCAGCCTGTATATATAATCTGCCTATTCTGAGCAGACAGAGGACCCCAGGAGGGGCTGAATGACAGAAAATTTCAACTCCTACTGATTCCTAACAAGCAAAGTGGCAAGAGCAGTTATTTTGATGTCAGTGAAAGATGGGCTCATTTCCTGTCTACTTGGCTCACTTGTGTAAACTTGTCAGTTTAACCCATCTGGGCATCAGTTTCTGTATTCTTCAATTACACTAAGAACCATATAATCTCCAGCTTCTAATTATAGAGTGGTGTAAAGATTAGTTGAAATAATATTTGGAAAGCACCTAAGGTTCCGTACCTGGCCATAGAGTAGGTACTCAAGTGGATGGCAATTTCAGTATTAAGATGGTATACACTGAACTCTATGGCACAAGCAGTTGTCACCTGTTAATGGTGGATCTCAAGTGCAACTCTGGATAAACATACACAAAACAAGAAGTTATGAAAAGAGTTGCAAAAAAATCTTACCTAACTCCCTGATTTTAAAGAAAACTCAGGCTCAGAGCTGATCCTGCAACTTGGCTGGTTGCTTCTCTGTAACGGGACCTAGTTCTCTTGGCCACCTGGCTACCATTCCTTATGCTGCTACACTGCACTGCCTAAGCCCTCTGCAGGCTTTTTTCTCCCAAAGAGGAAAGAACACACAACAGGAATTGGAAAAGATGAAATTGTCCTTTGTAATACATATGCTTGACTTAAACAACTTTTAAATTGGAAAAAGAATAGAATAAGGCAAATAAAAGTTGCATAGTTTTGAGGGAAGCGCACCTCAAAAGGCATAACATATTAAAGACTTAACAATTTAATGGATATTGACAATATCCTACCTGTAATGAGAAGAATGGAAAGATAAAATATCTACAGAGCTGCCTTAAATTTCCTAAGAACAGACTTTGGAAGTTACCTTTGTACTTCAATAGTTCCCATGGTTTCATAGGCAAAATCACATTTACTGTCAATTTCAATAGCTTTGCTGATAAGCTCCAAACCTCTATCCAGGTCTTGCTTCCACTGAAGTTGAAGTAAACTGCAAATGCAAAAAGGCAGTCAGATTGACCATGGGCCAATAGCAACAAGAATATAAGTATATGACTCAATTTCTGTCCTCAATGGATTTTTATTTACAAAAAGAAAGCAAAACCTAAAACAGTATATAATCAGCAAATTGTTTTTATTTCTCAATTTACATTTGTTTTGTATTCTAAATTCCTTATGAAGAAAGTGTCAATGGAAACAACCTAAGTGTCCATTGATGGATGCATGGATAAAAAAAACTTGGTGCACACACATACGCACACGAGAAATATTACTAAGCCATAAAAAGGAATCCTACCATTTGCAACAACATGGATGGACCCTGAGAGCATTATGCTAAATGAAATAAGTCAGACAGAAAGTCAAATACTGTATGATCTCACTTATACGTAGATTCTAAAAAACAAAACAAAAACCAACAAAAACCAACCTACTCATAGATACAGAGAACAGAGTGATGGTTGCCAGAGGCAGGGATGAGGGGTGAGTGAAATTGATGAAAGGAGTCAAAGGTACAAACTTCTAGTTACAAAATAAGTAAACCATGACAATGTAATATATAGCATGGCGGCTATAGTTAATAATACTGTATTATGTATTTGAAAGCTGCTAAGACAGATCTTAAAAGTTTTCATTACAAGAAAAAAAAATGTGTAACTATTTACAAAGACCTGTTAGACTTATTGTGATAATTTCACAATAAATATAAATACTGATTCATTACGTTGTACACCTGAAACTAGTATATCTTATGTCAATTATATCTCAATAAAAAAGAAAGGACAAAGTGTCCAATAGTTTGGGCTCTATAAATTACCTAGTAAGCTTAATTGTTTTACTTTGTATAAATTTAAGTGAAGTTTCTTTTTTATTATAGTTCAAGTACCTACCATGTTTCCTATTTTGACACAAGTAACATTTGATAGGATGTTCAGAACTGAAATCCTTAAGCTAAAGTGAAATAGTACATTTATTGATTGCTATACAAGAATGAAACATAAGTAAAATTTAAAAAATTAACAGTGAAGCATCCGTACCATTAATAAATGTATTAACTCAGTGATACTCTACACTACAGTACTTTCCTCAATGACCAAAAGAAATCCATCTTATTACTATGCAAGAAATTTGGTTTTTTACTGGAACAAACAGAAGCACAAAAATACATACCCTTTATGAACATATGTTGTGGCATTATCTGGTTCCAAATCAATACATTTATCATACATTTCATCAGCTTTACCAAACTGTTGTTGATCTGTTAATGCCTAGGTGAGGAGATACTTCAGTTATATTAACATAACTGTCAACCTAAACAGTTAAAAGTATATTGCTTATTAATTATGAAAATTTATTTCCTTTATCCATTTCTTTACAAATTATGATGTTTGGAGGATATAAAATGTTACAACTTAATTATGTTATAAATATGAAATCTTAACTGTCCACTATTTTTGACAAGTGGTTAAATACAATAGCAAACGATGTGGTAAATGTGGAATACACAAAACCCCATTCTTGGTGCCAGTTCTAATATCAGATTTTCATAGGTACATTTATGTCACTTATTCATAACTTATCAAAATATATCCTAAAGGAATTTAAAGGCAATACTCATTTGGAAGGATAAATTCAGGTATGTGTGTTAAATGTCATCAGTCATTCTTTAAAAATTGATTTTTTAAAAAAAGCTGTTACAATGAACTATTTTAAAGCAAATCCCATGGCAGAAATCAAAGGGTTGGTTATGTGGATACCAGATCATACTCAAACTGTAACTTTTTTGAGTGTTTTTTTTTTAAGTTATACTATGTCCCTCCCTCTCTCCCTCCCTCTCTAAAAACCAATGGGAAAAATATCCTCAGGTAAGGATTAATTATATATAACTACTAGAGGTCCGGTGCATGAAATTCGTGCATGGGGAGGGGGGTCCTTCAGCCTGGCCTGTGCTCTCTCACAATCTGGGACCCCTCGGAGGATGTCCGACTGCTGGTTTAGGCCTGATCCCTGCAGGCAGCCAGGGAGGAGCCCAAGCCGATGCCGCGCCGCTGGCGCTCATCCTAGCCCGCTGCACCTGCCACTGCCACTGCCACTCAGCAGCGCTGCCGAGGAGTCGGGAGAGGCTCCTGCCCCCACAGCTGTGCTCGCCAGCGGTGCTGTTGGAGCGCACTGACCACCAGGGGGCAGCTCCTGCATTGAGTGTCTGCCCCGTGGTGGTCAGTGTGTGTTATAGTGACTGGCCGACTAGTTGTAATGGTAGCTTAGGCTTTTATATATGTAAATAGTGTGTATGTCCTAAATAATAAAGCGGTAATATGCAAATTGACTGTCACGCCCTCGCACAAAGATGGCCACCTCCATGTGGTCACAAGATGGCTGCCCCCATGTCATCACAAGATGGCCGCCACAAGATGGTCAGCAGGGGAGGGCAGTTGGGGGTGACCGGGCCGGCAGAGGAGGGCAGTTGGGGGTGACTGGGCTGGCAGGGGAGGGCAGTTGGGGGCGATCAGGCCAGCAAGGGAGCAGGTAGGTGTCAATCAGGCTGGCAGGGGAGTGGTTAGGGGGTGATCAGCTGGCAGGCTGAAGCGGTTAGGGGACAATCAGGCAGGTTGGCAGGCGGGGGGGTGGGAGCCAGCAGTCCTGGATTGTGAGAGGGATGTCTGACTGCTGGTTTAGGCCCGAACTCATGATTAAACCGTCAGTTGGACATCCCTCAAGGGATGAGGATGCAGGCTCGGCTGAGGGACACCCCGCCCCCAGTGCATGATTTTCATGCACTGGGCCTCTAGTCTATAATAATAAAAAGGTAATATGCTAATTAGACCGGACGTTCTTCTGGATGAAACTGGGGCTGGTAAGGAAGCCCGGGTCCCAGGTGCCAGAGGGAAGCCAGTGCCGGCAGCCAGGGGAAGGAAAGCCTACTCTTGCACGAATTCGTGCATCAGGCTTCTAGTACATATATAAAATTACATATAACTATGTATATAGTGAAGCAAAAATAAGAAAACTAAAGGATAGACATTTTAGCACAGACTGTGATGATACTAGTGCTAATAAAGCTAGCTCACGTAAGCCAAAACCTATTTTGAAGGTAGCACAGTGACAAGACAATGCAATTAAGAAAGCTCTGTGAGAGCTGTTCCTAATATAGGTTTTTTTAAAAAGCTATTCAGTGGCCTTTGTTCTTTTAGCTGATTATAGAAATCTGCATCAAAAAGGCTTTTTAAAACTTCATTTCATTGATGCTGATGGTATTGTCCCTTCTGCTTTGTTCCTAGTAAAAGGCATAAACCCAAGTGCACCTATTCAATACAAAGGTTACACAATTATAATGTGCATTTTCTTATTTTAAACTCTATACATTCTATAAAATTTTATATAGTACACTAGAGGCCCAGTGCATGAAATTCATGCACAGGTAGGGTCCCTAAGCCTGGCGGGCGATCAGGTCCGATCAGGTTCCTCACCTCCTGGCCTCCTCCTTCCCTCGCTCCCTCAGCCTGCCACTGCAGCTGGTCACCTACCATGTTCTACGCTCCCTCCCCGCCCCCCCCCGCTAGTGGTCAGCGCACATCATAGCGAGCAATAGAACTCCTGGTTGAACTCCCAAGGGGACAATTTACATATTAGCTTTTTATTACATAGGATGCTTTCACAATGAATATAGAGCAGGTGGTCAGCAACTATTGTTTCCTTTTTTTTTATTATCACCACCCTGCTAGCAACTGTAAGGACAAAGACTGAAGAGATAAGATTACTTCTAAATGAGATTAAAGAACTTGTGTTTACTTCATGCCCCAGAGAGTTATTAGAGAATTTCAATTTCTGATAATACATGGATATGTAGAACTATTAAAGAATAGATGCAACACAAATCAGTCTACTCACATTCCCTTACAATAAATCCTCAAAAAAAGTTTCACCCCATGGAACTTTTTTCTTTAACTTAACTGAAGATTGCATGAAGGAACTTTAAAAGAAAAACAAGCAACCTTAAGAATGGTTTGGAGGTAGAAATCACCACAGATGGTCATTTTTAAATGTTTTCTATTTCTGAGATGTGTGGGTGGATGTGACAACATTTCTTTGGAATAAAAAAAAAGAAATCATATAGAGTATTGAGATAGATGATTTATGCAGATACCAAAAGCAACTTTTTAAAATTAATAAGTTTTCAAAGATTTCAATTATACAGTGGAAATAATTCAAATTTAAATCATACTTCCCCCAAAGCTTCAATCCTAAGCCAAGAATTTTAGACAAACCAAAGAGGAGTTAAAATGAAGGGTTACAGCCTATCTAATCATTTAAAAGGATAATGATCAAATAGAAACAGAAGGCTTCCATAGACATTTTCTCTTCCAATTGAATATAGTAAATTTTCCCAAGTTAATTTGATAAATCCAATCCAGATAAAAACATAAGGGAGATGTCCTGCTTACACTTCCCCACATTATGAGTTTAGGGTCATGGTTTTCAAATTGTGTCACATAGGAGCCCCTCTTGAAGGGGTTCAGGACCACCCTGGGGGCCCCAGAGAATCACAGAAGAAACAAAGCATTGTTTTCTGATTTCTCTACTGGGATTCAGCACACAAGTACAGATCTTTTTAAAAAAAGGACTGGCAAATAAAAAAGTATGAAAAATCACATTTACCTGGGCATATAGTGCATAGCCTTCAGCACACCTGGGAAATTTCTTTATGACCTCTTCAAACCCTTTCATAGCTGCTTGGATTTGTGAAGAATTGTTTCCTGTATATGCCTGGCGATACTGTTTAAAAAATCAAAACAGGCCTGTTAAATCAAGAATTCAAAACTCATGGAACGTTAACATAGTATAAAAGTTACACAAAATTACATAAATATTTCCAGAAAGACAGGTGTTATGCTAACATAATTTGCTGCATCTAAAAGGGTAACAAGGAAGCCCTGGTTGGTGTTGTTCAGTGGTTAGAGCATAGGTCCGTGCAAGAAGGGGTGATGGGTTCAATTCCCAGTCAAGAGCAATACCTGGATTGCAGGTGCAATCCCCAGCCCTGGTCAGGGCATGTATGGAAGGCAACTAATTGATATGTCTCTCTCACATCAATGTCTCCCCCCACCCCCGCCCCCCCTTAAAAAGCAATGGGAAAAATGTCCTTGGGTGAGACTTATCAAAAATAAATAAATAATAAACACAAGGGTTCCAAGAAAACGGCTCAGCAGCAGGGTATCTAATCTAAAGGCTATGTACAGCTAGGACTTTGCTGACATACAGAGTCCAGGATGTTCACGAGAAGGGGGCATTCTAATGTGTCAGAACTTAACTTTGCATATATATGAGGGAGTTTTAAACCTAATTTATTATTACTTTACGACAAATGTTATGTTACTTTATCTAATATCATTTTTCACCTATAATATACAGGACAGACCGCAATTATGATGATGGTCCCATAAGATTATAACGGAGCTGAAAAATTCCTACTGCCGAGTGACTTAGCCACCCCAACATCATGATGCAATGCATTACTCACGCATTTGTGACAATGCTGGTGTAAACAAACCTACTGTGCTACTAGTCACATAAAAGTATAGCACATACAATTATGTACAGCACATAATACTTGATACTGATAATAAACGACTATGTTACTGATTTATATATTTAAAAGACTAAACACTTTATCATTATCTTTGAGTACAGTCTTTCTACTTACAAAAAGTTTGCTGTCAAAAGTATATATGCTGTATTATGCAGGCTGCAGCCTCATATACCTCATATTTACTGCATCTCTTAACTGCATAATTTTCTGGTGCTTGATTCAACACCATGTTGTTTTATTCAGTAACCTGCTGTACCGGTTTGCAGCCTAGGAGGAATGGGCTATACTAGTGGTCGGCAAACTGCGGCTCGTGAGCCACATGCGACTCTTCGGCCCCTTGAGTGTGGCTCTTCCTAAACCTTAGGAGTACCCTAATTAAGTTAATAACAATGTACCTACCTATATAGTTTAAGTTTAAAAAATTTGGCTCTCAAAAGAAATTTCAATCGTTGTACTGTTGATATTTGGCTCTGTTGACTAATGAGTTTGCTGACCACTGGGCTATACCATATAGCCTAGGTGTTTAGTAGGCTATGCCACTTAGGTTTGTGTAAATGTACTGTGATATTCGCACAATAACAAAATCACTTAAAGACACATTCCTCAGAATGTATCCTTATTGTTAAGCAGCGCATAACTGTAAATGTGTTTGTGATCTAATTTCTTTCTTTAAAAGGAAAATTATTTTAGGACTCAAACTATAGAGTGTGGACGAAAAGGAGCCACACACTAAACCTGGCAAGCTCAGGGGAGACCTGTGTGAGACCTAAAGTATCCACATAGGATGGTCTGAAATTAAAACTTTCTAATTAAAAGCAGTTCATGGTGGGTAGTCATATCCAAAGATGGTATTTTTCCCTAACAAAGGTTAATCTTCACCTTAACTGAGCTTGTCTGTTTTCTCTGCATCTAGAATAGCATGCTGACAAACATGCCTTTGCAATAACGAAGTAATTTCCTTTTTTCTGGATCCCTCAAGCATCATGTTAATTGTTGACTCTTAACTACCCTGTAGCCAGCTATGTAAAAGATGTGTCTATCGTTTTACTTTTCATCCAATCCCAGAGGTTTCCCCATTTTGTTTTCTCCAGCCTCCTTCATCTATCATCAATGAATTCCATGTAACCCACATGTCTCCTCTTTCGATGGTAATGTACAAGGAAGGTGCAAAACCGCCATTTTCCAAAGCATTTTCTCAATCCGTTGAGATTTTGCTTCCTGGCAATTGTCAGTTTGGCTCAAATAAACTCATAAAAATTCTTACAGGTTTGGACATTTCCTATGGTTCACAAGAGCTATTGAAGTACCTCATTTCACTATAAATTGAATTATTTTACTTGATTTTCAGCATTTCTGATTACTAATAGCTTTACAAAGGCGAGATGAAATTGCAGTTAATGTGGTGTCATGATTGCAGTTATTAGTTCCTCAAAATGCTTTTGTTCTCTGTACTAGTTTATGGTGGAGGAACAGGAAGAACAGTGCTATACAGGGGAGCATGAAAATCAGGGATAAACATCTATCAAGATGAACTCAAATAATACAACCAGAGAAATACAGAAGCAGTATCTCAATTAATATATGTATACATTTCTTTCTCTAAGCTAACTTGTTTTCCCCCTATGGGTATCCTTTGGGGGGAAAAAGAAAAAGATGATTTTATAGACAATGAGGGAAATAAAAATGATGTGTAGGAATATAAAAAGAAAGCAGAACCTACCAATGCAAAGCATTTCTGCGCTTGTGCCAGAGCAGACTCAGGTCTTAATCTAATACATTCATCAAAATCTGCCACTGCTTCTTCAACTTGATCAAGCAGTATTTTCAGCTAAGAAAAAACAAAACAAAACACACATAACTAAACACAACTCAAAATAATAAGTGCACCCACCCCCAGTTAAGAGACATACTGTCTCTTATCAAAGCTCAGTATAATGCTAATAGCATATAGTAATTATGCAATATAGGAATTACTTTCTAAAACAATAAACTAGAAAGTCTTGTAATTTTAAAGGAAAGCTTCTACAACTTAAAACTAGTGTCCAATTTCTTAAAAAGCACTATAAATCCACCATTTTTGCACTGCAATTTTGACCACTCTTAAGCAAGAAACCTTTTCTTCTAGAAAGATAGACATTTCTGTACTTTCACATTTCAAAGCAAATCAGATCATCCAATAATTGCCTTTCAAATTAACCTTAAGATACTACCAGTAAGGATCAAAATGTCAGGAATTTTAAGAATGTCAACACTTCTTCAAACCCTTCAGACAGAAATATTAGGTACAATTCTCCATTAGAAAGAACTTCAGCATTTCTGTTATTATATGGATAGTCCATACTTCCTACCATAATGCATTCCACCAAGTCCTGTTAAACAAGCAGATTAAAAAGCCATGCTTTCCCCAGATGAGGCTAAAACTGGGAACTGTTTACTTCACTATATATATATTTTTTACTAAAAACCAAATATGCAGGTTGTAAATCTCCAATAAGATTTTTTTTTTGGTATTGTTTGGATAGTCCAGGCTAACTACTTCTTGACAGCAAGAAGCCCACAAAAACCATTGTGTTGCTTCTGGCATTAATTCAAAATGCTCATTAAATATTTTAATGTTCTACTCATTGAAAACCTATGAATCGGAAACACCTGAAAAACAAACTTGACCTGGCAAGCCAATATCTGTAGCCTTCCTTTTCTTCCTTTTAATAAGTAAATACTGATATTATAAGGACAAATGTTCAAGAGACTGTGATAATTTGTTCAGAACTATCAGAATTGATATAAGAAAACTTTAAGACATTCTCAAATATGGGTATCAAATTCCTCAATCCAAGGTCAGAACTCCTGGTAAGAAAATAGATTTACCTGTCCTCGGTGATGATAAACATCTGCATTCTGAGGATCAATGTCAGCAGCCATGTTAAAATCCTGAGTGGATAACAAAGGCTGCTGCTGTTGCATGTACATGCTGCCTCTTTTGATGAGAGCATTTGCTCGAAGCTACATGCCACAAGTGAGAAAAGGGTCATCATTACTACTTTTTATTCCAATGTAGTTTAAAAGCAAACAAACAAACAAACAGTTGCAGATATAATTCACATACCACAAAGCTCACTCATTTAAAGTCAGTTGTTTTTAGTATATTCAGAGTTGTGCAACTATCACCACTTTCTAACTCCAGAATCTCATCATCATCCCCAAAAGAAACTTTATACATATTAGCAGTTACTTCTCATTTCCTCTCTAATCCATCAATCTACTTTCTATTTCTATGAATTTGTATATTCTGGACATTTCATTAAAATGGAATAGTCTTTTGTGTCTGGCTTCTTTCACTTAGTATAATGTTTTCAATGTTCATCTGTGTTATAGCATGTTATCAGTACTTCATTCTTTTTTATGGCTGAATATTATTCTACTAGAGGCCCAATGCACGAAATTCATGCAAGAGTAGGCCTTCCTTCCCCCGGCTTCCCTCTGGCACCCGGGACCCGGGCTTCTCTCGCAGCCCCGGCTTCATATGGAACGTCGTCTGGAAGGACATCTGGTCTAATTAGCATATTATGCTTTTATTACTATAGATTGTATACCACTTTTCTTTATCAGCTCATCCCTTGATGGACATTTGAGCTGCTTCCACTTTTTGGCTATCATGAATAATGCTGCTATGAACATTCATGTACAAGTTTTTGTGTTGCCATATATATTCATTTCTCTTGGGTATATGTCTAGGAGAGGAATTGCTGGGTCATACTGTAACTCTGTTAAACTTATCAATAAACTCCCAAACTAATTTCCAAAAGGATTATTATTATTTTACATTCCTGCCAGCAATGTATGACAGTTTCAATTTCTCTACAACCCTAATCAATACTTTTCACTGTCTACTTTCTGAGTATAGTCATCCTCGTGGGTGTGAAGTGAAATTTCATTGTGATTTGGATTTGAATTTCCCTAAGAGTTAATGATGCTGAGCATCTTTTCCTGTCCATATTGGCCATTTTAATATACTAGAGGCCCTATGCACGAAATTTGTGCAAGGGCCTTGGCCCTGGCGGGCCCCCACCCACTGCAGCTTTGTCCAGAAGGAAGGACATCCGGTCTAACTAGCATATTATGCTTTTATTATTATAGATTCTTTAGAGAAAATGTCTATTCAGAGCCTTTACCTGTCTTTAAATTGAATTGTTTTAGTAAGAAGAGTTCTTCATAATTCAGAATACAAGCCCCTTATCAGATATAGAATTTTTATTTTCTCACATTCTGTGCAATGTGTTTTCTCTTTTTTGATGGCATCCTTTCAATCAAAAAAGTTTAAAATTTTGATGAAGTCTTTTCTTTATTGCTGTTACTTGTGTTTTTGGTATCATATCTAAGGAATCACTACATAATCCAAGGTAAGATGTCCTCCTATTTTTTTTTCTTAGAGTTTTATAGTTTTAGCTCTTACATTTAGGTCTTTGATTCATTTGAGTTAATTTTTGTACATGGCATATGATAGACATCAATACTACTTGCCATTCAAACAAAAAGTCATGATCATAATAAAGCAAGATACAGAGATCCCCAAAACTCTTTCAAGACAAAACTACATATGTCTTCCTGAATGAAATGAACAAGAATGCTCCCACATTTTAACAAGAACACCTAACAACATATTTGTAATCAGTAGGAAAATCATTAGGAAATAAAATTAAAAATATTACTTAGGGTATCTTCAATTTTAAAATTTCATTTTAAAAGAAACTGAACAAATACTGCTATAATTACTTTTGTTTACAAAAAGTTTAGATATTTATTGACAAATACTTAAGTCTTTATAACAATTTTTATAAACGAATGATTTCTTTGTAGGTGGAAAAAGCCAGAGTTTACTTAATTTCATGAGGAAACAGGTCAGAGTGAACAAATTGGTAAGGAAGAGAGTTAGCTGGTGGCTAAGTTCTGTCATGTTATACTTAGTAGAGAGCTCTCAAAATTCAACAGACACCCCAATCTTAATTATGAAAATAACTACATACACATAAGAACACTTGGAAAATGAAAAGCTATTCCAATGACACACTGAAAAACTTCTGGTATATTTCAGTACCTATATCATATTTTTAGAATCTGTATTTTTCTTCATGTTAAAGATAAAAAATTACTGGCATCATAATAAAATCTTTCAGAATATATTATTAAATGTGTTTATTTTTATTAAACGCACTTTAAACCTTGTACTATCTGTAGCATATTACGTGCAGCATTACCTACACCATTACCCTGACCAAATATAGTCCATTACATAGGCCAGTGATGGCGAACCTATGACACACGTGTCAGAGGTGACACGCAAACTCATTTTTTTGGTTGATTTTTCTTTGTTAAATGGCATTTAAATATATAAAATAAATATCAAAATATAAATCTTTGTTTTACTATGGTTGCAAATATCAAAAAATTTCTATATGTGACATGGCACCAGAGTTAAGTTAGGGTTTTTCATAATGCTGACACGCCGAGCTCAAAAGGTTCGCCATCACTGACATAGGCAGTGCTACAAACAAGAGGTGAAGCTACCAAATGCTATAGAAAAAAATGTGTTTCCATTACACCAACTCAATCTTCATTAGGTGTAGTTCCTTCCAAAGCAAAAGTAGCCTTCTGGAGAATGACAACTGAAATGCCAAAATTTTGGCAAAACATCAAAAGCCTCATTTTTACTAATTTTTGCACATGCACAAAAGCACATTTTAGAAACGTACCTTCACATTAGCTTCTTTCAAACTGATGACCTTGTCTAAATCTGGTTTAGCTGCGTTGGCATTGCCAATAAGCAGGTAGAAGGTAGCTCGTAGTAATAATGCTTCTGCCATGTATTTGCCTTGAGCATCTATTTCTTTTGAGCATTCACTTATGATTTTGTCATAGTTTTCTTCTTCCATGTATTGTTTGGCTTTTAAATATCCAGAACTGAAAATAAAAATGAACATAGGAAATCATTTAGGAAGAGAAGATGAAATGCTAAAACTTGCCACATTTAGTACACCTGAGTTAAGAAAATGTCCATTTCTCCTTAACGAGCTAGTCGGCCAGTGTGGGACAGCAGCAGGGCAGGAGGTAATGGGAATCTTGATATAGACTGAGATTTTCTTGATGCCTTGAATTTTTAAAAAGGAATCAGCAGTCAGTGGCAGAAACCTGCGGTTACTGCCCAAGCTTCAACATTTAAACACGTGAAATGAAAAGGGCAAGTCTTATTCACTTTCTTATCTGTGGCACATTGATGGCATGCAACAGTTATGACTAACATAAAGGAACACGTGAAATGAAAAGGGCAAGTCTTATTCACTTTCTTATCTGTGGCACATTGATGGCATGCAACAGTTATGACTAACAGAAAGGATAGCAGTGGTGGCAGGAGCCTCTCCTGCCTTCGTGGCCAAACGGTGGAACGAGTCACTATGACATGCACTGACCACCAGGGGGCAGACACTCAATGCAGGAGCTGCCCCCTGGTGGTCAGTGCACTCCCACAGGGAGAGCGCCGCTCAGCCAGAAGCCAGGCTCTCGGCTGGCAAGCATAGCAGTGGTGGCAGGAGCCTCTCCCGCCTCCGTGACAGTTGGATATCCCTTGAGGGCTCCCAGACTGAGACAGGGCGCAGGCCAAGCTGAACCCCCCCCACTCCCCAGCCCCCCGAGTGCACGAATTTCGTGCACCAGGCCTCTAGTAGGAAATAAGTCAGCTCAGGGCCACAGAAGCCCAGGGAAAAGGTGTGACCAAAGCTGTGCTTTGTAAAGATGAGCAAGGGAGCAAGACTAAAAGCAGAGAAATATCTGCAAGGCTCTCATCCAGAAGTTGTGTTGTTTTACTTGTAAGAACAGACCTAGAAAGAATAGGTGGAAATATCAAAGAAGCAAATTTAAAGGTAGATTCTCCCATAAAAAAAACTTTAAAGACATCCTTCCCTACTTCTTAAAATTCAGTGACCACAATATCATTATTCATCTAAGATGATGACTATTATCGAGGGCACTTACAGGAGAGATTTCTTGGAACTGAAAAGGAATTTATAATAGATGAGCCTATAAGGGGTATTATAAACAAAGTATTGTAAATGAAAGTGCATTTCCTCACTTGTTATATATTTTGAATAGAGAAAACTGGCAAATGACTTAAGAGTTGTTGGTCAAGCCTGGATGGTGTGGCTCAGTGGTTGAGCGTTGACCTATAAACGAGGAGATCATGGTTTGATTCACAGTCAGGGAACATGCCTGGGTTGTGGGTTTGAACCCCAGTGTTGGGCATGCAGAGCACAGCCAATCAATGATTCTCTCTCATCACTGATGTTTCTATCTCTCTCCCTCTCCTTTCCTCTCTGAAATCAATAAAAAAATATATTTTTAAAAAGTTGTTGGTCAAAATCTTACGAATTCTATGCTAATAACCTTTCCTACAGTCACATTCTAAAACCCCCTTATACTCTAGTTTTGTTCCTCAGGTCACCAGGCTAAGAAAACATAATTATTAAATCAGTATGGAAATAATAATGGTTCCTACTTATTGAGAACCTAAGTGCATGCTCACAAATATAACCTTTAAACCTCACAATAACCCTCAAAGGTAAGTATTATCAGCCCCAGTTAAAAAATGATGAAGCTAAGGTCAGAGTAAAATGGAATTCAAAAACTTAGGCCCAATTCCAGCTAGTTTTCTGGTGAGAGGTAGCTATGTCCTGCCACCTCAATGTAACTTTTAGAATAATGGTATTAACATCATTGTAGTTTTTCTGGGACAATGACCTTTTTCCTAACCAGAAGAGGAAATTATTGGCATCATTTTAAACATTTACTTCCCAACAACAATCTTCTGAAAAGGCTGAGTATCAACTAACTAAAATTTGAACATCTTAGTACCATTATGCATAGTATCTTCCTCCTTAAAAGGTGGCCAACAATGCTGGAAAAATTGGGAGATAGAAATGAAAAACGATCTCTTTCCTGGACCCAGAGAGAATTATGCTAAGTGAAATAAGCCAGTCAGAGAAAGATAGTGCCATATGATTTCACTTACATATGGCATCTAATGAATAAAATAAACTAACAAAGAAAACCGAAACAGACTCATAAAATACAGACAACAGGCTGACAATGTTAGAAGGGAAGGAGGCTAGGGGGCCAGGTGAAAAAGGTAAAGGGATTAAGCAAAAAACACTAAATTCATAGACACAGACATCTGCGTGCTTATTACCAGGGGGAAAGAGGAGTCGAAAGGGGTGTAGGGGGGATAAATGGTGATGGAAGGAGACTTGACTTGGGTGGTGAACACACAATACAATATACAGATGATGTATTATAGAATTGTACACCAGAAGTCTACATAATTTTATTAACCAGTAACCCCAATGAATTAAAATAAAATAAAAAGCTGGTTAAGAGACTCTTAAAAAAAGAACAAAGAGATTAACCAGTAACCCCAATGAATTAAAATAAAATAAAATAAAAAGCTGGTTAAGAGACTCTTACAAAAAGAACAAAGAACAATCTGTTTCCTTAAACATTCTAATCTGTTATAGATGCAAAACTATGCTTTGCTATAAAAATATTTCCTTTTCTTCCAAATTCATTTAGAAATGTTATTTTGGTAACAATATTGTACCTTTTCCTGGAGAGGACAGCTAGCCTTAACATCAAAACACAAGTACTGATAAAGACAAAAGGACAAGCAGGCTAGATGGCTTATGTACTAGACTGATCTCCAGTTGTAAACATGGCATCCTATACTGTTCTCCATAAGAGCAAACACAAGAAGCCTAGAGAATGGCATTTTCCCAGGCAAGCAGAAAAAACCTTGAAGAAAGTCATTTTTGGGTACTCCTAAGCATCTCAGTTTATAAATTATAAACTTCCCAGCACTAAAACATTTGGATATTCAACTACATAGTAATTTTCAAGTTAGTGTCCCTATTTGAATACAGTTGATCACCTCACTCACTGGGAATTCTCTTGAGAATATCACCAGGACCCTAAAAGCAGGGCAAACTCCTGCCAGTAAAACCTTAAACCACCAGCGAAATAACTCTCAGGATGTAATAGACACATGTGAGAAGAGAAGTATTTTTATTATAACAATGCTATCAGGATATTTACATTTTTTTTAGATGAGTCAGAGCCCCATTTATGCATGTAAAAAACAAAAACAAGCCCTAGCTGATTTGGCTCAGAGGATAGAGTGTCGACCTGTGGACTGAAGGGTCCCA